ACAGGCAGGGAGGAATCTGTGAGCAGGAGGCAGATGGAGTGAGATACAATCAAACAGTTGCTGTATCAAAAAATAATCCACACACTGAAACTCCAACAGTTAGAGCCTTCCTAAGAGCCAGGTTTTTCAGGAAGGCAAACAGATAAATGTGGTGGCCCTTCTACACCTCGTTCACAGAGAAACTGCATTTACAAATGGCTTCTTCTGGAAGAGAAAATAAATAGAATTCACACCAGGTTCTGGGATGATTTTAAGTGATCCTAGAACAACCCTTCCTTGAATCATGATGAAGGGTAGGGGGTTTATTGGGGTAACTAATGGTTTAATTCAGTGCTGATGAAATAGAAACTATTGTTATGAAGGAAGCAAATCACTGCTTTTGTAAAATCTGGAATTAAAGAACAATCATCCTCAAGCTTTAAGTGAAATGTGATTACTTTATCCCACCCATCAATCAAAGTGTAAAACTGCCCGTTGTGAAGGCCAGGTTAAATTGATCAGGAGGGAGAAAATTCCATTCGCACCCCCACACACACCTTTTTCCCTAAACCAACTGAATTAGTAATTAAAAGTTCCAAGTGACCTTCATCAGTTCCCTCTCTATTTACATTTCCCAGAAATGACTTCTCCAGAAATGGCTGAACCAGACACCTGACTTCCAGTCATCCTTAATCCATAGACCACGCAGTCTCATCTACAGACAGGTAGCACAGTGATGGGGAAATGTTACAAAATCTTTTTGTAACATGCAGAATGGGGATTTGAAGGGACTTTCTACCTCTCTCTGATTTTAAAAGCAGATGTGAGTTTGGACAGAATAGTCACCCTTCCTACAATTATTTTTCTCCTCTCGGGTTCAGATCCTATTAATCATAGTAAACTAACCTTTTACACAGGCCAACAGATTTCAAAGGCCTTGCCAGGAGGACAATTTAACTATAAGAAATCAACTCCCCCCTTCCCAGTCCTGGAATTTCCAGTGACTGAGGAGGTGAATAGCTTCATTGTGAAAATGAAGGATGCAAAAATGAAAATTCAGAGACGACATTCAATTCCGATTTCCTGCTTGGGCTCTATGCACCCTGTTTGGAACAAATACCCCACTGATGGAGCTGCTGCTGGAGGCTACCATCCACACTGCTGAAGTTTAGGGCAGCTTCATAAAGATCACAGAATCCAAAAGCTTCCTTGTCTAAGAGCAAACCAAGAAATGAGGAAGTGGAGGGACTGTTCCAAAGATGAAATGCTAACTGATGGCAAAGTCAACATTGGCACTACGTACTTCAATTTAAAATACAAAACCCTGATGTCCACTCTGTGGTTTTCAGTCCAGTGCTCCTCTTCCCACCCCACACACGTGGTTCCTCCTGATTTTGCAGCCTCATCCTCTTCCCAATATGTGGTGGTACATACCTTCTCTACCACTGCAATCTCAGCCATTCTCATGGATTCTCTTACCACCCACGTGTACACCATGATGATATCAAGATCTGTGACCTTGACCTGTCTCCTGATCTCTACGCCACACTGCCAGCTGCTTCCTGGGCATCTGGAGCAGATGAGGTCACATTGACCTCTCACACGCAGTTTCCAAACACTACAAACTCAGGATTCTCCCATCAGCAACCCCTAACCCCATAAGCCTCCTGGATTCTGAGTTCCCTTCCTTATGAATGACAACACTATCTGTCCAAAAACAGCTTTAGCTTTTCCCTTACCCCAACAGCATGTAAATAATTTGACTAATTTCCAGTGCTCCAAAAGCTGTAGCAACTGCACTGCCCCAGACGAACACACGTTACCTGCCACCTGGAATATCGCACCAGGTGTGTCTTCTAGTACTTAGATCAGAGAGTGTATTCCAGCAACTTAAAAATCTTCCATTGTTCCTCTTTGCCTACTTAATAAATACAGATTAAAAATAAGTAAGAAGGCTTATTTATTTTGGCTTAACGCCATCTAAAGGCTTTCTAGCAATTCCTGCTGTGTGAGCATGTCACAGGCTACCTTGACACAGAGTGAGTCCCCTGTCCCTGGAGTTTACTATGTGGCCCGCCCACTCAGCAGCAGCTCCCCCATTCCTGCATGGGTCTGATGAAGAGGGGTTTAAAACACTGAACATCTCAAAGAAGCTGGCTAGTACCTCTGTGGCCCCTTCCAAGCTGGAGATTCTATGGGTCTACTTACGCCTTTTATATGCCTGGCCCATGGAGTCCTACAACATTGGCCCACCAGCCCATCACCCACAGGATTAGGTCTCTGGAAGTTGTGCATCTACCACCTGACCTTGCCTCCTGACTGATGATCAGATCGGGATGGTGCCTGACCCCGCAGTTCTATGGGACGGTTCACACATTCTTGCTGCCAAGACCCGCGCAGCTCCCTTGGTTCCTTTCTTTCTGCAGTCCAGTGCCTCACCCCTATGAGGTTCACTGGCTTCCTTATAACAGTTTCCCTTTGTCTACAACAGTGGGTTTCTGGTCCTTGCAACCTAGAGTTTGACCTAAAACTCTGTTCTCTGGGTTTCCCAAAGCCATTGAGAGGGCTAAGAAAGACTCCATCCTTGTCCCAGGCCCTTCTGAAGAGCCAGGAAACGAAACAAGGCCTCCAGACCTGAGCTAAACTCCCTGTGCTTTCCTGAGGGAGAAAGGCTGGCCATGGAGAGCCCAGAGGGCACGGGTGGCTGCTTAGCCCTTCTTTTGTAGAAAAGGTGCAACTCGACCCCCTGCTTGGCCAAACCTGAGCCACGCTCCTCTGGGCCCTCTTCTTGACAGGCCTTACCTTTGGCCTGTTAAGCCCACTTTTAGGATTACTGAGAATCCTTCTGAGTCCAGGATTAGTGAGAATCCTGCTAAGCCAGTTTAGGTAGAATACCCCCACCCTTGATCACTAATCACATTCATCTTCCCCCACCTTAGACACTAAGTTCCTTCCTCTTTGTAATTTTCCATCAGCTGAGCTCCTCGCTGCCTATTGGCTGTAAACCTCCAGCTGCCCTTGCTGTATCCAGAGCTGAGCCTAGTCCTGTGCTAAAGGCTCTCTCCTTTGCTGCAGAACTCCAGTAAAATCTGTCTTGCCATTTTAAGCAAGTGTCCAGTGCAATTTCTCTTAAACAGATGGAAACCACCTTGTAGGAAGACCCAGAGAACATGGGAGGGTGCCTTGGAGAATCAGCCCTGCCGGGAAGCATGAAACCCATTTAGGTCTGACTCCTTGCCTTCTGCTAGAATACTCAAGGTTTAGGACTCCCTTTAACTGTTCTTCCATAATCAGCACTTTGACAATATTGGCAGACTAAAAAACAAACAAACAAACAAAAACACACCAAGAGCTCTGTCCTTCTCCCGACCCAGGGCTGCTTGAGCAACTTCTCTGCAGCCTGCACCATTAACCTCCAGCCTCGGGCCAGCATGGGCTTGGTTCCTAAGTCATTAAAGCTCTCAGCCCCTCTCCAGTAGGCATCCACTGCGGAAATGCCCTGTCCTAAGATAAGGAGGACCAAGTTGTCCACATTTAAGTCACCAGCTCTCATTGTTCTCATGGCCACCTCTGAGTGTTCTGAGGAAAACACGGCACTCTTCTCAATGTCCCCAAACTCCCTGTGGGATATAAGTGGCCAGTCATGTTTCCTGAGTCTGCCTTTGCCGTACAGACCATGAGAAGTGTCTGCAAATGGATTCATGTTCTCACTACAGGCAACTTCTGGGCTAAGTTTTCAGAGTTCAAACGAAATATCTGCCACTACTAAAAAGCTGGATGTCAGGTGGGGTGGCTCACGTCAGCAATCCCGGCACTTTGGGAGGCTGAGGCAAGCAGATTGCTTGATGCCAAGAATTTGACACCAGCCTGGGAAACATGGCAAGATCATGTTTCTAAAAAAAAAAAAAATAGCTGGGCATGGTGGTGCATGCCTGTAGCTCTAGTTACTTGAGAGGCTGAAGTGGGAGGACTGCTTAAGCCCAGGAGGTCAAAGCTGAGCTGAGTCATGATAGCACCACTGTGCTCCAGCCTGGGTGACAGAGCAAGACCCTGTCTAAAAAAAAAAGAAGAAGAAGCTGTAAACCATCCTTTGGGGTTTCCAGAAAGGATTAAATATGAAAGCTTGTTTCAAGTAATGTTTTTGTCTTGCATTAACTGTGTCAGTTATGGAAAGGAATTCAGGTCCCTGATATTTTTGATATAGGCAGGTGGTAAGAGAAGATATAAATGTGGCTATGTGTGTGTACACATGTACATACATGCATATATATCCACACACACACACACACAAACACACACATATACACATGCACTTTTCATCTACAGTGGCTCATCTGCAACATTTATAAATTAAAATTGAGGATTAAAAATAAAATTGTGACATTAAAGCATTCTTTTAGAATTGAATGTTGCTAGTCTCTAAATTGAAATAGTCTATTCACCCAGTAGTCTTATTACAGTTCCATCAGAACATTGGACTAAATCCGGAGGCTTTCTCTCACCAAGGCTGGGGGAGGGGAGCTGGTCTTCACATCATTTATGTTAACAAACTTAATAAAAGTTACGAACTATAACCGTCTCACCAGTGTTTTTACAGTTTAGTGGCTAAGCTTTATAAAATGATTTATAAAAATGATTTATGAATGCACATATCCTGCCTATATTTAAATTGCATCCACTTTGTTCTGAGAATAATTGTGTTTGTCCCATTACTCATCCCGGACGGAGCCTTCTGCATGCTGGCCTGACCCACATGCTCCACGCTCTGCAGGAAGCTCAGGTTCCAAGGGTGCCCCTGAAGCAACCACTGTGCCTGGGGCATCCTTTAGCCTCACGGCCTGGCTGTTTAGAAATTCAAATTAGCTTCAAATCTGGTCGGAGCCAGTGAGCTATCATCTCACGTTTGGGGGAAAACTAGGCTCAAAACTACATTCCATTATTAATAAAAATAAAAGAGAGGAGAGAGAGAATAAATAAAGTCTTGAAAGGGAACACTGCCTGGGCAGAGCCCAGTCCTTTACCTGCGTTCGAAAGACTTTCATTTCTTTCCCAGGCAGAATGATCTTTGGGGGATGAGAAGAGTCGACTGTGGATCTAGAAAATAAACAGAAACATTTCCCAATTTCATATTTTGATTTGCCAGATATATAATCTTTAATAATGAACGTTATTATTATTTTTTTAATCAGGAACATCCTGGAATTTCTCCATTCTCCCAGGAAACAGCTACAGATTGTAATGAGGACTTGCTTCCATTTTCTTCTCGGTTACCTCTACCAATAAATGAAAGGTAGGTTTTTGAGGATTTCGAAATGCATAGAAAGGGAGAAAGGGAGGGAGGGAGGAAGGAAAAATACAAAAATTCAGCCAACATTGATTTTGCTGGGGATTTTGTTAGCAGGTAAAGGAATTGCATCTAATATTTTTCATCTAGCCTATCACGGTGCTGAATGGGTGCTGGCTGGGCTGAAGCTGGACGTTCAGTAAATACTGGTAAATTGATTAACTATGAACCATCCCATTTCAAGAAATTCCCATTAGGACCCAATGAAAATAAGCAGAATGTCTAGGAAACTATTCTGTTGTCTGCGGGTATGATTGTATTGCTGACTTTTTCTGCCAAAAGGTAAAGGTTTTTTTGTAATTTTATTCTCAAAGCAGTTTGCAGTGGGTGAGACTTTGGGCTCTGATTTCTAGCTGTAATGAGACTCCAGAGCATCTCATTCCATACTGGGTTTGCCCTATCCCCAAAATCCCTTGGAGAATCCTGTGACCTCACCCCAATGCTGAAGAGCAACAGTCCTGATGGTTCTGTCATCATCCTGGCATACCTGAAGGGGCAACTCATTCACGGGGCACAAGCTGGGCTCTGATTGTGAACCTCAGTTCATGTCCCAGTCCCGAAGCTGAGTTAAACTTTTTGGTGTTCAGCTCCCACGATCGGCCCCTTCTCATCTCAGCATTTGGGCAACCATTTCTGGGGTTGCAGAGGGGAATCTGTAGTCAAGCAATTCTTCAGTCCCCAGGAGAAGTCTGGCCTCCCCGCAACCCCATAGTGGAAGAGAAAGCATGGGGTGGGACATGGATGTACATTCTCACTACAGGCAATTTCTGGGCTAAGTTTTCTGCTGCTGTTTTTAGAAGGGCTTATAGGAGTTATTTACTACCATCTCTGCCTCTTCCTGAGCTTCCCAACCATGGCCTGACTCAGCCACCACCTATTAGCTGTGTGATTATTAATTCTAATAAGTGCTGAAAATTATTGAGGCTTCACATATACTGGTTATATATGCTCAGTGCTTTACATACCTCCTCTCATTGAATTCTCCCAACTCTCAGAAAGGTATGCTTCTTTTAGCCCCACTGTGGAAGCTCAGAAAGCTAAGGCCTTAGTAACAGGCCAAGGTCACCCAGCTGGATGTGATGGAGCCAGGAATCAGATCGGGCAAGTTCGACCCAACACGCTAGCTTTTAGCCAATGTGTTCCAAATGCTGTTGTTGTTATTGAGTGCTATGGTCTAAATGTGTCCCCCAAAATTCAGGTGTTGGAAATTTCATCCCCAAAGCAACAGTGTTGAGGATGAAACCTAGCGGCAGGTGTTTAAGCCATCCAGGCTCTGGCTCATGAATGAATTAATGCTGCTGTTTTTAAAAGGGCTTATAGGGGTGGGCTTGCTCTCTTCTGCTTCTCTGCCATGTAAGGGCACAGCAAGAAGGCTCTTACCAGATGCAAGTACCTTCATCTTGGACTGCCCAGCCTCTAGAATTGCGAGAAGTAAATTTCTGTTCTTTATAAATTACAGTTTCAGATGGTCTGCTGTAGCAGCGTAAAGAAGACTAAGACACTAAGTATCATTATTTGGCTATTTGACTATATCCAGCATTACGTATGTAGCCATTACACTTCTATATATCCTTTTCTCAGGCTTAGCATAGATGCATCATGGGAAATACCGGATAATGCATAAACATTTTCAGGGAAGGAAATAAAACTGCTGCCACACTGTATGTGGGTCTGGAAAATCATTTAAATCTTAAGTCTGTTACAAGCAGCAAGTTATCTCTCCACCGCTTCCCACCAATCAGGTAGTTCTGGAAGCTGTCTTGGAGGTGGAGGGATGCAGGGAGAAACTGGCATAGTGGAAATTGTAAGCTTTTTCTCTCCTGGGTTGCTTTCTTGTGTGGTTCTTTTAAGAAAGACTGTTATGCATATTTTTTAATGTAACTCTATCAAGGCTAGCAAGTTAATTAACCTGGGATATGACAACACAGAATTAATTTTCACTTGGCAAGCTCCTGATGCACCACGCAATCGTTAGTCAAGAGCTCCAGCCTTGCCATGAAGTAACAAACACTGAAGTGCTTTGGTTTGGATCACAGATGATCTTTCTCTCTCTCTCTCTCTCTCTCTCTCTCGGGACCCAGCAATTCACAGTAAATGGCAAATTGACTAAGATCCACAGGCTTCTGCAAATGCCTGGCTTCTCCAAAGCCTAGAACCATGTTCCACAGGCTAAGGGCACTATTGATTCAAGAATTTTCAACGATGGGGTGATTCAGGAACTTCTTTCATCAACCGGACTCCAGGTCTTAGTTCAATCACAACATCCTGGAAAGACTTGGTGTGGACTCTATTTTCTGCTGCTTTCTCACTGTAATCCTTTCGTGCAGAAGAGCAACACTTCCCATTGCCATTACGGTAAAGAATGAAGAGGGCCCTGGTGGTGCCCCTGCTTATCTCTGTGGTATCACTCACTGGGCATCGCTCTCCTGCCACACACTCTGTGAGCTCTCCTCATCCCCTCGACCAGGTACACGCTCACCCACCACAGGACCCTTGCATGCATTGTCCTATTTGCAAAACACGTCTCCCTGGTCCTTCTGGAGCTCGGCTCACGTGACCTGCCCACATGAGTGTCTGTCCTGACATCACCTTCAAACCAAGGTCAGGTTTCTGATTTATAAGCTCCTGCAGAAGCATTCATTTTCCTTCAGAGCACTTGCCTCGGTTTGTAAATAAACATTGATGCATGTGAATCTTCAACTGATGTCTGCATCTTCCCTCCACCATAACCCCTATGAGAAGAGAGTTGTTGGCCTTGCTTGCTAGTGGATTCCTCCTCATGCAACCAGGTCTGCCTCCCCCTGAGTCCCAGAGGTTGCTGGGAGCAGGACCTGAACATCTCTGGTGTCCAGCACTGTGGTGGGTGGGTGGTAATGAGAAACATGGTGGATGTTTGCAGAATAAAGGAAAGGAGAAAAGATGGAAGGAAGGAAACAGTAAGGGAAAAGGTAGAGAGGGAGCTCCGAGGGAGTGGGGGCATAGGGGAGGAGGAAAACAGGAGAGGGGAGAAGAGAGGGAGGGAAAGGGCAGAGTTCCTGATCAAGGTTAGGAGTTAACAGGAGACACCGGCCTCTGGCCTGCGATACCTGGGATTTATGTGGCATTCTTTCTACACATGGATATATTTTCCCCAATAAACAAAAGGTTGACTTCAATTTTTACTATTTACTTCTCTGAGGGAGAGCCTGATCAGCCTTCGCTATTTTGTGAGTGATCATTAAGTGACTCCTAACTCAGTCCTTTAAAGTCTCCCTTAAATCTCTGAAGCCATTAGGGTGTTATTTAGTGAATGGAAACAGTGATTGACCAAAACCACACAACGGGAAAAAGATTTCAGAACCATTTCCACCTCCGTTCCTAGTGACTCATGGACCTGATTTAAGCTTGGGGTCACATGAGTAGCTATCAGTGTGTGAGGACAATTAATCCTCACAGGATCTTCTAACAACCCTGTGACAGAGGCATGATCATTATCATTTCCACTTCACAGTCTGGAAAGTGAGGCAGAGAGGGTAAGTAACTTGCCCCAAGTCACACAACCCTAGTAAGTGAATGAAGGACCCCACATTGGAACGCATGCCATTAGAATCAGTCCCAAGGAACAGAAAACTATGATTAGGATCAAGTACCATAAGAAAATGAGGACCATCTTCGATAGAGTGGAATGCCCCAGTTTGCAAAGCTCTGATATTCACATGACTTCATTTTGATTCTCCAAGGTCCCCAAAAGGTGGTGGCTAGGACACATAGATTTTTAAAATATATAAATAACAAAACTAAGGCCCAGAGAGGATAAGAAACCTAAGTGCCCAAGAACAAGGAAATGGTGGCTCTGTCACCTACACCAGCCCTCCTGATCCTGGAGGATCCAGGATCCTCCAGCCCTCCTGATCCAGCTTTCCTTTCACCCCACCACACCACCTGCCACTTCACAGGCACAATCCTGCCAGGCCCACCCTGCAGAAATTCTGTGGTCAAGCCTGGTACCTGCTAAGACAATAGTAACATCAACATCACATTGATCCATGAATTCCATCTGCAGCCAGAGGCAGTGCTCCCGTGAGCTTTGACTAAACATTATAGGTGTAATAATAGTAGAACCTTCCGTGTATGTAAGACTAAATGCTTTACAAAGCAACTCCTACATGCTCTCACTTGTCCTCCCAAATCCTGCCATCATAGCTGAGCTCAAATAAGCAAATATTGTACAGTATTTATTGTTTCCTGACTCTCCCTTTAAGATATCTGAGTACTCACCATGGATCCATAGACCCTAATCTGCAATGCTAACATGCATAAAGCTCTGTAGTCCAAGAGTTTTTCTCCCTGGGTTTGTAGCAAGCTATTCTGATAGCAAAACCTTACCTGTGCTAACCTAAGGCTATTTATGATATTAATTTATTCCACTGACTATGAATATTTATACATTTTATTAATTAGATCTTAATTACAGAGTTCTATCTCAGATCCTGATGGAGTTGTTGTACAATATTATCTTTTTAAACTCCAAAAAAATTATTGCTGAATCACATCTGGTTCCAAGAATTTGGGATGGAGGACTGTCAATCAGTATTGTGGACATTTGATGAATCCTCATCACCAGCTTCTGAGTTAGGGTTTTCCATATACCCCCTCATCCAGTCCTAATTTATTTCAACCCCCATACAGCAGACATTCTCCTGCGTTTAATAAATAAGGACACTGAGGTATGGAGAGAGTAGGTAATTTGCTCTAGATCACTGAGCTACCA